TAATCTGCATATAAAACATTAGAAATTAGATATTTGTTTAATTTTTATTTTGTGTTTGATTGTTAAAACAAAAAATATTTGTTGTTTGTCTCAATAAATTGGGTTAATTGAAAAATACAGTGGTTAAATTAAAAAAAAAATTTCTATTGCTCTTTGTTTTACAAAAGGTTATAAAAATGTCAATAATTATCGATACCGAACGATATTAAACATTATATTGTTGATAAATTTTTTAGCTATATCGCCCAGCCTTACTTGGTAGCAAGTACACTATATTTACAAGAAGAATTGCACACTACCATTCAAAGTTTGGAAGCAATTAGATTTTTTTTGTAATGTTGAATTTTTAAAAAAGTCTCTTGTGCTCACCCAAGGTAGCATTTATTTAATCAAATATACAATAAAAGCAATTGTGCAATATACAGTATTACAATTTAAAAATGTCCTATTTTAACATATTTTAAAATGTAATTTATTCCTGTGATGGCAAATCTCAATTCATCAGCCATTACTCCGTCTTTGTCACATTATTCTTCAGAAATCATTCTAATATGCTGATTTGGTGCTCAAGAAACATTATTATTATCAATATTGAAAACAGTTGCACTGCTTAACATTATTGTGGAAACAGATCTTTGATAAATATAAAGTTCAAAAGCAAAAAATAAACAGCATTTATTTGAAATGAAAATCTTTCATAACTTTATAAATGCCTTTACTATCAATGCATGCATCTTTGCTGAATTTCTATCTTACTGACTTCAGTTTTATATTCCACTTTTTTTAGTGAAATAATCTGTAGTTCCTCCTTTTTTATTCAGTTTCCATTCAGGCAGTAACAATGCTATGCAATTATTTGAAATACTTTTTTCCATGCCTAAAATTGTGATATTAAGCATTTCAGATGAACCCACCCTAAAATCATGACTGTGAACTAGGGATGTAACGATTAACTGCGAGCCGGTTGAAAATCGTTAAATTTCAATTTAGTTTAGTTATTTACATTTACATTATATTTAAATTTTGTAATTTAGCAGACGCTTTTATCCAAAGCGACTTACAAATGAGGACAATAGAAGCAATCAAAACCAACAAAAGAGCAATAATATGTAAGCGCTATATTAGTATATTATTATAGTGTTATATTTCAATTTCACAAAGAAATGTGCAGCATTTTGTCCAAGCAATAATAAAAGTACACATTTAATTTATAATTTGTCTTAAATCTCATTTTGTAAAAAAATAAAATAAAATAAATTAAATTAAAAAATCGTGAATCGAATCGAATCGTGAGTTGAGTGAATCGTTACATCCCTACCGTGAACATAGAAAAAAACTGTAGAATTTTCTCCATCACCACTGTGACTTTTAGCACTTTCTAAACAAAACAAAACAAAACAAACAACCAAACAAACAAAACAGCAAACCTTTCGAGGCTTGAGCTTGTCTTGCAGGTCGTACTGGCCAATGCCTTTGTAGCTAACCCCCAGCCACCACGGTATACCCTGTTTGTCCTGTGAAAGAGATGAGACTTTTTTGAAAATGAAAGGTAATAGCTTCTTTTTTTCTGGCAACGGGAGCGAAATAAAAAGATCAAATGGATCCAACCTACATATCCATTTACATACAGTAGCAGCTATTTTAACAACACTGTTTGATCTCCAAAGACATTTCTAATGAACTAAACACAATTATAATTATACCACACACATTTTACTTGTGGTTAATTATTTAACCAACCATAAATCAATTTAAGGACATATTAATTATGGCTTCAGTAATTATAATGTCTAGTTCTGTATTTCCTAAAATATCAAATGATAAATCAAACCACACACCTTCACTTTGTAGTAATGAACTCCATATGCAGGCAAAGACTCAACTAAGGTCAGATACCTGTTGAACAACAGTATAGCACAGAAAGTTAATAAGACAGTGTTTCAGACAAAAACATCAAGGAAAATTTTAACCCTAGTAAATCATCTATAATGTGTCACTGACAGAAGTCCCACAATTGATTTCTCTTGGTGCTTTCACAGTGAGGGACAATGTCAATATATCAACGCAGCAGCACAAATCAAGCTGACAGAAATGACCTTGTCTCTTCCCAATGAGCTAAAAATAAAGTGGCACAGAGTCGGTAGGCCTGTTGAAAGCAGTCACTTTCAGTAATGTGGTCTAATTAATTACGCAGTTTTGCCTTTCCACAATCAACTGTGCAGGAGTTATCAGAGGTAGAGCAAAAGGCTCAGACTTGTAGTTCCTGTACCTACGCTCCTTGAGATCATCTATGTCAGACATATAAATGATTAGTGTGCTTACCGCACGATAGCCTGTCCACGACTGAGGCCTTTCAGCTTCTTATAATGCTCGATTACTTTATCTTCACTAGAGGGCAAGAGAGAGAAGGATTACCACCCGCACAAGTGCAACAAAACAGTAATTGAGCATGAGACCAACATGTGAATGTGCCATTTAAATGACGTGGCTAGTCAGACTATTAACTAGTCAGATATAACACCAGGTGCACCCATGTGTGAAATGCCATCTGGCTGGCTGGCTTGTGAATCACACACACACAATCTCTTTGAGACAATTATGTTAATAACTGGTTTCTTAAACATACAGACACACTGTAAGTATTCATTTATTATTAGGAAACAACAAAAAGGAAAATTAATATGACAGATGAACATTACAGGAAACTTGTACACCCATAAAATCACAATATACAGGCAATTTTTATGTATATAAACTAACACAGCTGCTTTTGCATGCACTCGCACAGCTGTCTTTTAAACACTTGCACTAACACACAGCTGTTTCCTCACACACTCATTCCCACTCACACACTTCAATAATTGCTGTCTGTTAACTGGTTTACTGGTCTTACTGCTCCCCACACTCAATAGGCATTGATTAAAGCTGCCACATCAATCCTTTTAAGTGGGAGATTTCAACATCTAGACATCTAGGGCTACAGATGCCAGAGGGCAGGGATCATTAACAAGCAAGGTAATTAATTAGGTTTGTTTGAAATAAACAGTCTACAGCTTGCACATTACACATGGCCATAAGAGTCCAATTACACACATATACTTGAAACATGAAATATCTGAGTCATTTGAGTTATAGACATTGAATAATGTTCTTAAAGATATGAAATGAAAATGCACACATTTACTTGCTTAACAAATGCACATAATCTCATGCTGATGTAACCGAGGCTGCATAGGCCTATAAAATATTAACTAATAACATCATATCCCATTTTTCAAGATCAATCAAAACCTGATGGACACAATCAAGTCTCCGCCTAGATCACTTCATACTGAATACTGTGTTTCACTCGCAAAAATGTCATATTACAGAAGCTACCTGTATATATTACCAAAACAAAAAAGCAGTCTTACCAGAATGCTAATGATGGGTGCTCCTTCAATACCGCAGTGGGGAAAGCTGGAAGCTTTTTTAAGTCTGATCTTGTGCTTTCATCACTAAAAATTAAAACAAAAACAACATGTTAAAATTAAATACTTCAGAAATAAATGATGGGTGTCCTAGCTAAATATATGCTAGTGTAGAAAAACTAAACTCAGCAGTAGTGTAGATAGAATTATAGTATGTTGGCGATAGCATTACTGTAACTTTCAGCAATATGTGGGTGATTCTCATGAAATCTTCGTTTTAAACATGAAAGGTTTAAAAAGACTTGCCTCAATAATGTCCATTTTAGGCATTAAAAGTGAGGGCCGAGGTGTTTACAGATAATTTAACCTTCTTGAACATATTTTCCGAAACACACCCTTTTAAATACCATTAAAGAGAGAGAACTTAATTGTAACTTAATTATTTATTATTATTATTAAACTTCATTAAGTGCAATTTAAGCAGTTCTACAGCACAAATCAGTCAATTTTTACCTTCAATATTATAATGTAGTACCAACTGACTCTCATGTATATTTTACAGCATTAGTTGAGAGATTTTTTTTTTCCTTGAAAATTTGGCATGTACTGTACCTGATATGTATCCAAAATAATCAATATCGAATCGAGTTGGTAATCGAATCGGATCGCAAGCTTGTGAATGAGAATCAAATAGAATTGTGAAATTTGTGTCAAAACCCAGCCCTTCTGTTATCATTAGTCTGACAGTTACTTAAAACACTGAAATAATAGATATTTTTAAATTAACATTTTTCTTTAATTTTGACTCGATTCTGACTATCATTACCGCAACGCCTTCCAAAATTTGCAACCTAATGTTTTTTTATATCTCATTGAAACTTTATATTTTCAAAATGATGTGGCAAACCTGAAAGAATATAATGTATAAATTCTGTAGAAGCAGTACTTGTTTGGCCAAAACAAGGTGTGATTTAAGAGATGATGTTTGTTTTAGGAGAGCAGATATCATTCTTTTGAAATAGAACTCTGAGGTTAAGAGTGATGACACTGATAGGCGGACGTTTGAATATTTTCTTCAAAGAGCTTCTTGATGTTTGAAGAGCACATTGGTTTTATCTTTTATCATCCTGCTGGAATTCCTTTTTAGGTAAATGAGCTTCCACCTCACAACTCTTACACTTTAAACCAATCAGTGTTTGAATTACATATTACGAGCATTTTTTTTCTATTCTGCAACTACAAAAACCTTGGTTTGACATTTTATAGTCACTCAGAGCCTATATAAAGATTAGATGTAAATGTGAGATTTCCCATGTAAGGTTACAAATTCAAGCTGCAGTTAGTGATGATGTAGGACTTGAGCTAATATCATCTTATCTCAGTGGAGAGATTGTGATATACTTCAATGTCAAAGACTGTGACCTGAATATACAGGTAAAGCAAAGTGCATTTCAATTACAAATCATGTTTAAATAGTGCTGTTTCAAAGCTGTACGACCTTTCTTCTGTGGAATAAAAGCATGCGATTGCATTGACAAATTGCATCTAGTGCTTTATTAAACTTTTCTTCTTGTGTGTTGCATGGAAAAAAGGAAGACATACATGTTTGAAATGGCATGAGGGTGAGTAAACAATGACAGAATATATATTTTTTTGTGTGTGTGTGAACTATCCCTTCAAAAGCTTAGGAGGCCACACATTTAATACAACAAAAGCTACATAAAAATCTAACTGGCACCATCATGAATCATGATGGAACAAAAGACACAACACCTGAATTCATAAAACAGGACAGCATTGTTATTGAAAACCCTCATATCATGGGCTTCCAGACATCTGATCTGCTTTAGCAAGCTATGATCTTTTCCAAAACTGTCTTGAGGGTGCAGTGGGCAATATTGTTTTCACAGGAAGCAATTACTCAGATAACAAAGCACAAGAACTGATCTAAATGTGCAGAACACTGTAAAACCATAACATCAGATTCAGAATACTTAGAAAATTAATTGAAAACAAAAGGAAACAGGTTACAGAACTGAAAACATGTAAAACCTTTCTAACCCTACTTATCAGCCCATTAATACCTTGCTTGACTAAGCACCACTATATTCCATGGCGCACCTCCCTTTCCAAGCCAGCTGATTCTGTAGTTCAGCAATTTATGATAAGTTTGAAGGTATAAATCTAGCAGGCCGGTTTGATGATGTGGTAAAATACAGTAAGCTGGTGCCCTGAGACCGCAATGCCTTGTCAGCAATCTGGAATTCATTATGCTGTCTGTACTATCAAACAGTTGGCAAGGAATGGCGCGCAAACACTTAACCCAGCACAAGCAGCGCATGGAGGAGTTAGAGCCATGTGTCAGCTTTTTCAAGAATACACCTACCCTCATTACAAGGAAATCAGAGGGAAATGGGTCATTTGATGCTAACGTCCTTGAACTGAAGGCAACTTCTGCTTAGAATTCAGGTTCAACAAGATCAAGGATTATCGCAGTAAAATTTAAGAGTCCTCACTGTTTATTTTAAAAGTGGCACCACTTCCTGAACTTTCTATATTCTCTCTAAAGTGCTAGGACATATGGGGGGTGATCTTCTAGGGAGAACCCCCACTTGGTTGCTCCTGACATAAACTGCAGACAGATGACATCAGCGTCCTGCATGACGCCCTATCGTCTGCCAACTGGAGATGTCTCCACTCCCTCTCCCAGAAAATCTATGCAGTCTTAACAGTGGAGAGGAGGAGGAGTAGGTTTATATGGAGAGAGGTGGGGGTCTTCCTTCCTACATAAACTTAAAGCCCTGGGCCTCCAAATGCAACCGCTCAATCTTTATGAGATCTGGAAGCTTTTATCCACATGGAAAGAACAGAAACCAGAGGAAGAGAAGGTCTGAGGGCTTGCTGTATCCTAAGCCCACTTAAACTATAAAAGCACGCTATCAGTAACGATACGCTGCTACCAGAACTGCTCGACAGCACTGCTTAATTATGTGCCAGAAAAGAGTAAAGTTAATATCAGCTATAAAAATGTACTCACATAACCCACCTATCTTTAACCAAAAACTAAAAATTGGGCATACAGTACGGTTTAAAATGTATGGGGTTGGTAAGATTTTTTAAATATTTTTGAAAGAAGTCTCTTATGCTCACCAAAGCAATTTATTTGATCAAAAATTATTAAAAACGATAATATTGTGTGGAAATATTATCACAATTTAAAATAACTGTTTTCTATTATTAATACATTTTAAAATGTAAATTATTCCTGTAACGGCAAAGCTGAATTTTCATTACTCCAGTCTTCAGTGTCACATAATCCTTCAGAAAAATCTAACATGCTGATTTGGTGCTGATTAAAAAAAATAAATCTATGACCCAAACAGTGGAACAGTGAACAGTGCTGTACAATAATATCTCTCTCTATATATATGCATTTATTATATTTTTAAATATAATTTATTAAAACACACACACACACAATGAAATGTACATCTGTTAACTCATTGTCATATAACCAAACATGCACATCATGCGAGATCAACACGATTCCACAGAAAAGAGCAGCGCCAATGTGCCACTTCCTGTTGTAGAAGTACTAGACATACAGTAAATGTAAAAGGCCAGAGTGAAAGCAGCTCCAATATGCCACCTGTGGCTGTGTACTCTAACCTCCCATTTTCACACTAAGCCCTTTCGATATGTCCCTTCCTGTCCCTTTTTGACAAAAACAAGTCAACACAGAAAGAAAACAAAGCTTGTCAAAGCCATTTCACAAGGTCTTTAACAAGTTCCCCACTGCTAAACAAAAGCAGTCGTTGTTGCAAGGTAAACATTTTCAGAGTAAAATGGAATGTTTACACACACCTCTGTTCCCAATAGTGGACAAGCTTTGTTTTCTAATAATGAACTGCAAGGCTATTGAGAAAGAGTGACCAACACATGTTCAAACCTTTCTGACCAATTCTCCCTTACATTTTTTTTTTTGTTACTTTAACAGATTGTTTTATCCCTATGCATCCCATTAACTGCCTCAAGATTAGTCCATGCTAACAGAGAAGGCGAAGAATGCCATTACTTACAACAACTAATCATTTGGAGTAAACCTCCTGAAAATTTATGAATGAAGAGCCAGGTAATATGCCTACCAGTATGATGACTGTGGTAATGTGCTTAGAAAGTGGGCAACATATATAAACAACGAAAATCTCTAAATTGAATTATGCTCTGTCTTACACAAAATGCACATGCCAAGAGTCCTTTTTAAGGTTTAAGTCCAGAAATATCCAAGCCAAGGACATATACATCAGATATATTGACTGCCAGTTCTTCTTACTCATTAAATGTTTCCTTTGGAAATGATCAACTAGGGCTGGATTCACAACAAAACAATGAGGCACACAGCCTAATCATTAACTTAAAATGCTTGCTTTGAGATGGATCTAACCAGAGGTGGACAGTAGTGAAGTATTTTTACTTTACTCAAGTAAATTTAAAAAGTATCTGTAGTTTATCAGAGTGTTTTTCTTTGGAAAACTGTTACTTCACTACATTCCAAAGCATAATATCATACTTTTTACTGCGCTACATTTCATAAATAAAAGTTGTTGTTTGTTTTACCTTTAATACTTAAGAATATTAAAAATGTAGTACTTTCTTGTACTCAAGTAAATCTTTGAATTACCTTTACTTGAGTAAACGTAAGAAAGTAACAGATTTCTAATGTAACTAAGTATTAAATTATATTTAATATGAAACGTAGTGCAGTAAAAAGTACAATATTATGCTTTGGAATGTTGTGAAGTAAAATTTTCTAGAGAAAAACACTCTGATAAAGTTCAGACACTTGAAAAGTACTTTTACAGCAAAGTAAAAATACTTCACTACTGTCCGCCTCTGGATCTAACTTAACAAACACACAACTCCACCACTAAGTTAGACGCACACTAATTTTAGCGATAAAAATAAAAACACAGAACATGACATTTAACTATTTTGAAATGATGCAACCAAACTGAGTGCAACAATTTTTTTCTTTGTCCAGCTCTATTAATCTTATTGTACATTTTAATTATCAGATAAAGAAAAAAAAAAAAATCAACACGCTCACAAAAAAAAGTGCATACAGTGACCCTGAAAAGTATTTGTAAAATTCATCCACACTCAATGTATGTAATTGAACAAGAAAGAGAAAATTCAATACCAAATAAAATGTGCTCTCAAATGATGCTTAACCTTTTCTCAGAACGAACTTTTTATTCATTGCTTTTTCTGTTTACAACCTGGTTCCAATGTCATTTTAGTGGATTAAATCAGTTCCCTCAAGTTCACACAAGTGTCATAGCAGGTGTATTTTACATTAAGTCTGACAACCAGAGAATGTTACACTTTTAGATAAATAAACCTTTACTAGTGTTTTCCTAATTTTGAACAATGTCTATTAATTATCCAAACACAAACAAACCTTTAAAAATTAACTAAACATGATATGTATTTATACATTTATAATCATCTATATTACAGGGGTCGGTTACCCCCGATCTAATGCAATCTTGAAACCAAGATGAAAGATTTCTCTTACCTTGTGTAGTCTCCGTATGCCTCCTAAAGAAAAGAGGCAAAATGCTTGTGTTGATGAATCATTCAGATTGAACCTTTACACATGCTTGAGTCAATGCGGTAAGAAGCTTAACTCCAGAGTGGGTTTACTACAGACCACACGTCTCTAAACTTTGTATTACACATTTGCCAAATAATGAAAAGTTGATCATTAGTTAACGTTACGTCGCATCCTAAGCATTTCAGTGCACAAACGTGCAACGAGGGGACGTTGTTTCATACGACAGTTTGGCGAAAAGATAAATGCAAATTCTTACGCAAAAACCGGACATACAGTAGTACGCATGCAGTTATAACCAGCTCAGTTGTAAAGCAGCTTCGGATACAAATTGGGTATGAAAATGACTCGCAGCGAGTCTGTCAAAACTAACCCAGAGAATGAAAAATGCTCACTCACCTGAACAGTGTACGCGGCTAACTTAAAAACGATCTCACTCTCCACTTCAATATTTTCCTGTAAGTTTAAAAAAGAAGGAGTTAAAAAATAAACGCTTTACTCACTCGGCTTTCGGAAGACACCGTATCTAACGTTATCTATATATCCCACCAACCGTTTCCACACACACAGGTTCCACTGAGGACGATACCATCACTGTAAACAGACACAGGGTGTCTTTACAAAAATAATCACTTTATCTACCTAACACGCAATATATCATTACATGACTGACAAATTATTACAATAACACACGAATCTAGCATTTTAAAGAATAAAAGTCACTAATATATTCGGAATGACTGCAACAAATAACCAATCCACCCCAGGATGACATGGTACAGTCTGGGAGCAGGTTCAGCTCACTCACCTGAACAGTGTACGCGGCTAACTTAAAAACGATCTCACTCTCCACTTCAATATTTTCCTGTAAGTTTAAAAAAGAAGGAGTTAAAAAATAAACGCTTTACTCACTCGGCTTTCGGAAGACACCGTATCTAACGTTATCTATATATCCCACCAACCGTTTCCACACACACAGGTTCCACTGAGGACGATACCATCACTGTAAACAGACACAGGGTGTCTTTACAAAAATAATCACTTTATCTACCTAACACGCAATATATCATTACATGACTGACAAATTATTACAATAACACACGAATCTAGCATTTTAAAGAATAAAAGTATATATTATATATATAGTATATATATACTAATATATTCGGAATGACTGCAACAAACAACCAATCCACCCCAGGATGACATGGTACAGTCTGGGAGCAGGTTCAGCGCTCGTGTTTCAACATGCATCAAAAGAAGTAAACTCTACTGTCTCGCGAAAGCAAATAATGATAAAAACAAACTTCATGACTTTGAATAAATTGTTTTCTCCACACGGTCGCGCCGGGGTAATTTTAAATAAATTACAAAAGTAGTTTGTGGCTGTAGGACGAGTTACAATAGTAGATATTTAATCGGTCAACATGGGGTCGCTGTACAGCAACGAGTAAAATCCCTCAACCACTCAATCACGCCATATGCAGCGCCCCGTGAGGGCTCAGGTCACGCCACTCTATAGTACAAAGACAAATGGCTGATTGCTAATGGCAATCTTGCAAATATTTACTTGTATCTAAAGCCATTTATTACATTACTTTAACAGTAATTTTATATATAAATATGATTAGCTTTAAATATCAAGTAAACATTTGCAAAATTTATATTATATATTTATATACGTGTACAATAACAATATTTATATTTATTATTAGGGGTGTAACAGTTTGAATTTTTACAAATGTAAGCATTAAGTCATATTACAGCAAAATGCAGCATACTAAATAAAATGCAAAATGAAATTACATACAAAACCCTAACATTTCTTAAATGTCCATGTTTATTCCCATATACAGAAAGTAGATATAAATAATTATATTCTCCCTGTCAAAAATCAGCAACTAGTAAACACAAACACGGTTCAGCATTACACTGGAGAGATATACTCATTTGCGGAATTACATTTGGTGGTTCAATAATAGCCTTAATAGTTGTAAGAGGCTAGAGAGGAGCCAGCCAACCCTGCAGCGTCCTGCTGTGTCAGGGCTGTCATCTGTAGAAGCCCGTAATCAAAAAGAACTTAATGGAAGCCACCTGCCAAGCTCTTTTAAAGCCTCACAAAAAATAAAATAAAAGGGAAAAATAATCAAATGGACAATTGTTGTAAAAAACATAAGAAAACAACACAACTGCAATAAATTGTTGATAACATATGATAACAATTATTAAATGTTATCATGCATCGCACTACAAAATTACAGAAAAATCTGAATGAGTATTGTAATGTTTAATAAACCTTTGCTGATTAGTTGTTTTGATCTGTGACATGATTTTAATATTGATAACATATTATAAAAATTATTAACTGTTATCATGCATTGCACTACAAAATTACAGAAAAATCTTAATGAGTATTGTAATGTTTAATAAACCTATGCTGATTAGTTGTTTTGATCTGTGACATGATTTTAATACTTGGATCACTTACATTGTAGACAGATATCTTAGCATTCCGGAAAAACAGTTCAACGGTGGTAGCGTCTTTCAAATATGCAACACTCTCGATGTAAAACCTACAAAAAACACAGCAACAGTCAATGCAGAACATACATTTACTCCTATAATAAACGTAAACTAACAATGTTTACATATGAAGAGAAAAGAGATATGAATGAGTAGATATTATTGTCAATCCCAATGCCAAATCTTCTCTTGTCTCCATCTAAGCATATCTTGCTTTTGTGTACGTAAATTGCATCAGCATGTATGTGCAGGTGGCGCCCCCTATTGGGTAGCCATTGAACATGCAAATGAGTGAATCTGAACTAACCTGACTTGGAATTTGAGCTCAAGTGGTCCAGTCTTTTTGGAAAAGTCATGGTCCAGCACCCTGCGATCCAGTTGAAGCCAGTTTTTTTGACCCCTAAGGAATGGCAATAAGATTAATTGAATACTTTGGTTAAAGTGGCATAAGAAAAACGTATCTGCCATACTGAGAGAACTAACTACATAATTTAACCTTACATGTTGTGTATGATCCTGTATGTGCTTTGTCGGAATGAATGAATGATCAAAGGGTCTTAAGGCCAGTTCACACCAAGAACGATAACTATAAAGATAACTATATTAGCGTCCACACCAGCGAACGATATTGTCTGTTTATTGTAAGCATATGCTTTAAATTCTCGGGCTTGTGAAAGCAGGATTGATTTTGATTGGGTGTCAATGTTTTTATCGTTCATCAGCTGGAAAAAAATAGTTCTGAAAGTGATTCCAACGATATCGTGTCTCTGTGCATTTTTAAAACGCATAACTTTTGCTACGGTTACGCCTGACATTTACACTGCGTTTTTCAACCCTCGAAAACTGAGACTTTCGAAAACGCTGCAGACCCCGTTTTAGTTTGAAAACTCCGGGGTTGCGTTTCAGTGTAAACGGACCAAAACTGCGTATCCTTGACGACCGTGTAAACAATGACATCATGCACATTGTTGTACCTGCATGAATGGTCATGTGACATGCGTTTTCGGTTGTGTAGTGTGGACGGAGAACGTTTCTGAAACGCAGTGAAAACGCCAGTGTAGACGAGAATCGTTTTCATTTTAAAACATAAACAGGGCCTAAGCCTTTTGTTCAAAAGCATGCAATTTGACAAGATGTATAGTAGTTTGGTAGAAGTTTAGTTATTATTTGAGGTTGTCTGGCTAATGATCACATACTATAAATTAATATTATAATTAAAGATCTACTCAGGACGTCTTTGTATTAAGTGGTGAAAAAGTGCTTGCTTATTGCTTAACAATAAGCAAGACTTCAGAAAATCATAACTGCAAAAATCACTTCACCAACTAACTTCTCATCCGTGAAGGAGATTCCAAAATATTCTTTCTCTTTCAGGTTAAAATGCGATGAAACCAGATCCAGAAGATCCCGGGACAACAGTTTTGGCTGTATTAGGGAAAACGGGTGTTAATCTTAATTTTTTTTATTCCATATATTATATGTCTGCCTGTCTATCTATGAGTTAGTGTGGTGAGTAAACTTTACCTGGACCAGCAGTTCCAGCTGCCTGTCATCTAGCAGAAGCACCTGACACAGCCGGCCCTCCGTCATCTGTCAAAGTAAAACACAACATCCAGTTAGTCTTAAAATATTCAATATTTGTATTTAACTAATTCACAAAAATATGGTAATGAACAACCAAACTGTTCAAAAGTTTGGGATTTTAAATAAATACTTTTATTCAGCAAGGATGCAATAAATTGTATATAAAAAGTGACATTTTGTAATAATACAAAATATTTTTATTTTAAATAAACAGCACAACTGTTTTCAACATTAATAATAAGAAATGTTTCTTGAACACCAAATCATGATATTAGAATGATTTCTAAAGGATCATGTGACACTGAAGTCTGCTGAAAATTCAGCTTTGCCCATCATAGGGATAAATTACATTTTTATAATTATTATCTGCAGACCCCGTTTTAGTTTGAAAACTCCGGGGTTGCGTTTCAGTGTAAACGGACCAAAACTGCGTATCCTTGACGACCGTGTAAACAATGACATCATGCACATTGTTGTACCTGCATGAATGGTCATGTGACATGCGTTTTCGGTTGTGTAGTGTGGACGGAGAACGTTTCTGAAACGCAGTGAAAACGCCAGTGTAGACGAGAATCGTTTTCATTTTAAAACATAAACAGGGCCTAAGCCTTTTGTTCAAAAGCATGCAATTTGACAAGATGTATAGTAGTTTGGTAGAAGTTTAGTTATTATTTGAGGTTGTCTGGCTAATGATCACATACTATAAATTAATATTATAATTAAAGATCTACTCAGGACGTCTTTGTATTAAGTGGTGAAAAAGTGCTTGCTTATTGCTTAACAATAAGCAAGACTTCAGAAAATCATAACTGCAAAAATCACTTCACCAACTAACTTCTCATCCGTGAAGGAGATTCCAAAATATTCTTTCTCTTTCAGGTTAAAATGCGATGAAACCAGATCCAGAAGATCCCGGGACAACAGTTTTGGCTGTATTAGGGAAAACGGGTGTTAATCTTAATTTTTTTTATTCCATATATTATATGTCTGCCTGTCTATCTATGAGTTAGTGTGGTGAGTAAACTTTACCTGGACCAGCAGTTCCAGCTGCCTGTCATCTAGCAGAAGCACCTGACACAGCCGGCCCTCCGTCATCTGTCAAAGTAAAACACAACATCCAGTTAGTCTTAAAATATTCAATATTTGTATTTAACTAATTCACAAAAATATGGTAATGAACAACCAAACTGTTCAAAAGTTTGGGATTTTAAATAAATACTTTTATTCAGCAAGGATGCAATAAATTGTATATAAAAAGTGACATTTTGTAATAATACAAAATATTTTTATTTTAAATAAACAGCACAACTGTTTTCAACATTAATAATAAGAAATGTTTCTTGAACACCAAATCATGATATTAGAATGATTTCTAAAGGATCATGTGACACTGAAGTCTGCTGAAAATTCAGCTTTGCCCATCATAGGGATAAATTACATTTTTATAATTATTATACCGGTATTATATATTTTATATATGACTATTTTATAAAATATATTTATTTTATATATTTAAAAAATCTATTTAGCATAATTGGTGAGCATAAGAGACTTCTTTCAAAAACATGAAAAAAAATGTAAACAATAGTGAATTTAATATTTTTATTGACCCTGTATATGTGTATGTAATATTTTGAACATATTCCTCAATGACCTCTAATACAGATTTAGTCATCATCATAACCTACTGCTATACTTATAAACACTAATCTAATGATGTGAGGAGAGTGTGTCCTCTGATACTGGGTTAATAAATTGGATTGTTTTTCCCATTGGGAAGATTGCTCTCCGTGTAGAGTCAGCTGGATTTAGATGTGATCTTGGCAGCCTCCTGTCAGGGTGACTTTAGGAGTATTCAACAAAGTCAGAGAACACTAAATTATTTAATTAAATGAAAGTACTAATTATGCTTTTATACTATTTAGGATGTAGCATTTGATTTAGAATGGGAGAGAGGAGAAAACACAGAGTGAGTGAAAAAGACTTACACAAGAGCATAAAAAAATTTGAACTGATGTAAACCTGAACTTGTAAAGACACATTGTTCTCTTCACCATGTCTAGTACAACGCTTATATTTGTTTTTCGTGGTTTACATCATGTTTTCTTACACAATGGCTGCACAGCTGCAGCTGAAAGCCCTTTATGTACAAGACTGAGCCTTAATAGAATTCAGTATAATCTGAGTGAATCATAGTCGTGAAATTCCAATCCGCAAATCTTTTTACTGTTCAAAGCTGCCCCCGATAAGCTTTATCATGATAATATAACTATAATTATGTATAATCAATCCACCCTCATATTATCTTTAACATTGCATTAAATCAATTGCAAAATTATTAACACACACAATCAACTTTCTCCTTCATGCATTAAAAAGGTGATGAGCTTGACGTTTCAACATAGAGCATGCGTGAATTCTGCTTAATTAATGAGAACCAAATTATCTCTCTTCACCAGATTCACCAGTGTACATGTACTGATAACAGTTGATTAATTAACCAAAATTAGCCACTCTCATGTAAATTCACCAACTTTCTTGTGACTCACATTTTTTATATAATATAATATAAAATAAAATGTAATATAATATAAATGTAAATTATTTTAGATTTTAATACTTGGTATGAAAATGTCTGCAAGAGTAAACATTTCTTAAATGTAATTGTGATCAAACAAGAGCTATAATAAGTAGGCTGCTACTGAATAAAAAAAGCTGAGGGCTAGCCGCTATAAAAAACAAGGACCTGCATTTAAGCCGTCTTAATGAAGAGAATTATTGGTGTTGTTAATTACACAGGCTCCATTGTCTAAGCTTGGATTAGTCACTATAGAAACTCTTTACAGGACTATAGCCCAGCCAGATGAATGTTTAAAGCCATGCTTTGGTAAAACTTGTTATGAAGGATGACATAGAACATGCATACTAATAACAATACATCTTCTCTGTGTTTTTTTTTTTTTTCAAATTCATTCCAAATGGAGAACATTACTTGGATTTCAGCATTACTTTACATTACGTGGAATTAATTCTTAGGCAATGTTTTGCTTAGCTTAAGGTGAAGTTTAATATTTAAATTTTGATTAGATCAATACCTTAGCAGTCAATACCGATTACCATACATAAGTAAAATCTGCTCCAGCAGCAATGCAGGGAGCCTCATTGGCTTTGAGTTGAACTTTATCTTGCCAAAAACAATGCTCTTGAAAGTGCTTTACACTAGACTCAGCATCAGCATTATTTATACTTAACGTGGCATCACTTCCCTGCCCGCCTAAGACTTTCTTGCCCCCCACTAAAAAGCCCTGAAAAAACATCCACTTATGTATTTTCTGCTTGTCCAGTATAGATTTAGTCATTTGTTTTGTGTGCTATCAGACTAAAAGAGTAGCTGTTATAACAGTCTGCTAACTCATGTTATGGAACAATGCAGACAAATAAGTTAGTATAGAGTTTGGGATCTGTAAAGAATATTTAAACTTGTGACTTTAAACTTTATCTGAAGACAATGGAAGTATAACGGATTTGTGTTTGCGTATGAATTAAGGCTATATATGTGCATATGGGGGGAAAGGGAATGAGTGACCATGCAAAACTAGAGGGTCGTGTGATGTATAATGCTCTTGACATATGGGTCATTCACCCTGAATTATAATCTGAGTTCAAACAAAGCCCTATACTCCCTCTCCAGAAACATACACACACACGCTTGTGGACACAGTTACCACTAGCTCTAATAAAAAAAAAAAAAAACTTAAACCATTATTAGTACCACTAGCGCCAAACCTGTCTTACTTTCAGATGTGCATCATCTGTGACCTGAAGACCCCTTAACCTCTGCCATGCGTGAGTGTGATTTTTCAAGTCTAATCTTATACAAACAATACCATTTCAAGGTGAGTCACAAGAAAAATAAAAGGATGAAATGACTCAGACCTACCAGCTCTAAAACTACATCAAAAACTTAAGAGAAAAAAATAAACATCTGGAGAGAAGATCTGTCTGGATATATAAATATCACTCAACTGTGGAGTTACTCTCAATAAAGTTGATTAAAGAAACACAGAAATAAAATTGGCTATTAAATTTCTAGTTGAATTTTGATCAGTTTCTCACACATCATATGGGTTCAGACCATGATCATTAATAAACTTGGTATAGTATGGACTTCTTTTTTGGTTTTATATTGTGCTTTTTGGGCATTTGTGAAGCTTCACAGACCGTGGTATCCATTCACTTTCACCATATGGAAAAGAGCAGTGTCAGCATCCTGTAAACAAATGATTTTTGTATGATAGAAGAAAAAAAACCACATTATATATATACATATATACACACACATATAAAATGCAAAAACAACTAATAGGCCTATAACCTGAATAAAAATAAAACAACGAGTCCATAAGTCAAACAGTAAATACAAAGCAGTCCTAATGAATGCGGTTTTGCGAGATTTGTTTAACTTCTATTATTTTCTCAGTGACATTCAGTATATTTTGCTCTAGAAACATCACCTGACAATCAGTTTGCTCCTGCTAAACTGCAGCAAGTGACAGTCATTTTAAGGAAACATTGAAATACTCTAAAGATGTTTGCCGATCAGCTTTCTTTGCATGTTTAGCCTACATAAAGAATATGGCATGCAGATTCCCCCATAAAATAAGTATTTTAATGTACATTTTATGAATTGACATTAATAATCACGATTACAAAATCATTGAATGGTTCTAATTTTTTGTCATAACTGGGCAGCCCTAATTTATTTTCTAAATACAGAACCCCCGAGGAAGACTTACAACATTTTTTGATGAAGCCCCTCTTTTTACTGACCATTTGTCGACAAAGAAAAACAAATATTCATATTTACTTCCTATTCATGGAAAGTATACAAGCTGACATGTTTTTCACACAGCGTCAATAAACATCTTTCTTCACAGAGTTTGAAAAAAGATGTGGTTCCACAAAGACTTTAGACACTTTCTCCAAATACTTTACATTGAACTCACATACAAAATTAAAATAAAATATAGAAAAGCTCATGATGAGCATCAGATTTCTCTGATGACAACAAGCATCTGTTCATCTTGACTTCTGAAGAAACCACATTAGTGTTTAACAGCATGCATTATATATTAGATGTCATGAATGACTGAATCCAGGTTAAGGTTAATAATACAACATTCCTTAGACACAATGACATCAGACAGACCTCAGCACAACAATAAGAGGAGAAACAGTGACGCTTGCACTCATAAAAAGTATGTGAGTTGAGCAGATAGTGCTATGACAATGTCTAAAAGAACATTTACATTCGTGTTTTGACTTAATAGACCTACTCTCAATACCCTACTAAAATATTTTTTGTCAGACATCTAAAGAAATAGTTCTCATAAATTAAACTTCTGTCATCAGCTACACACCCTCATGTTGCTCCAAACCCATATGCCTTTCTATCTTCCATGACGCACAAAAGAAGTTTTACATATGGTGAAAGTGAATGGTGACATCAGCTGTCAAGTAAGATTTTCAAGCAAAGATTTTAATTGAATAATAAATACATTTCAGTTTGCTCCTCACATAAGCGCTCACATGGCTTCATAAGACTTGGAATAATTCATATAGGCTATTTTTATGAATCTTTTTATTTTTCTTTGTTTAGTTAGACACTAGACAATCCCTGGTCTCCATCCACTTTCATTATATGAAGCAGCTAGAAAGTCACACAGTTTTGGACCAACACGACTCGAGCGTGAGTAAATGATGACAGAATTTTTATTCTTGGCAAAACACGCCCTTTAATTTAGATTTACACTGTCGTTCAAAAGAATGGGGTCAGTACAAGGCTGCATTTATTTGATCAAAAATACAGTAATATTGTAAAATATTAGTACAATTTAAAATAACTGTTTTCTATTTTGTTATATTTTAAAATGAAATTTATTTCTATAATGGCAAAGCTGAATTTTCAGCAGCCATTACTCCAGTCTTCACTGTCACATGATCCTTCAGAAATTATTCTAATATGCAGATTTGATTTGAAGAAACATTTCTTATTATTATCAATGTTGAAAACAGTTGTGCAGCCTAATATATTTGTGATTTTTTTTTTTTAAATAATAATCTTTTGTAACATTATAAATGACCTTTACTGTCAATTTTGATCAATTTAATGCATACTTGGTGACTAAATGTAATATATATATATACATACATATGACCCCAAACCTTTGAACCATAGTCTACATGACATAGATATAGACATCTCATACCTGGTAGACATCTCCCAGATGACACCATGTCTGCAGGAACCTCCTACAGGGCACAAGCCCATCACTGTAGCATCTCCTCAGCACCTGTTCAGCCACAGTCCACACTAACTGACTTCCAGAAGCCAGCAGATCCTCTAAGCCACAAAATAAGTCCAGCGCCATCCCTGTTTGTCTGGCACACTAAGAAGGTGTGTGCTCCCTCTGAGGCTGATGTAACCTAACTGGAGCCTGGAAGAGCCAGGGTCGGAATGCCACTGGCTGGGTTTGAGGCTCTGTATGTAGGCTTCTGTCCAAGACTTTCCCCCTTGGAAGAGCGCACAGAGAGAGGACAAGCCACAAACAATCCACACTCAGAGACAAGCCTACTGAAGCTACTTAGACATACTCAGTGATGCACACACACACACTCATATACAAAAGAATGTGCACTCACACACACACACACACACACACACATATTTACGCAAATTGTACACAATGACCGTCCCAACCGTGCCAGTCCCTTCTCATAAACAAAAGTTGTGGTTTCTCTGTGCTTTTCACAAGCGTATGTCTTTTATGACCAACGTTTTACAGACCCTTATATAAGACCAATCAAATGAGAATGTTTTGTTAGTCATAGCGATTAAAATAAAGACACAGAAGGTAAGGGTTACGATTCGCTGTTTCTGTATGTGTGTGAAAGTGTCTTTTAATGGTGTAGTTTCCGCCAGATGCCACACTTCTCCATTCCATAAAGGAAAAATTTATAAAAATACCTACTTTCATTTGAGCTATACGTAATATAGGAGGGCTGATGTGTTATTACTAACGCCCAAACTCTACAGCAAATTATAGAGGAAATTTAAAGGACGAAATGGAATAAATTAGGACATTTTCCATTCTCTCAGTGAACCCCTCAACTAAATCTATTATCCATCTAACCTCTAGTTTTCCTCAGCATCACTTCCTGTTCCACGTTTGTTTAGTTTACATTCAATATGTCAGATGTTTAGGTTGTAGCAATCCAAAAGGATGTTTTTCTTTCTCCTCCTGCTCTCTGTGTACGAGTTTGGGGTCCTGCATTACACATCTTGGTGTTGAGTTCAGACTTAAAGGTCATTCTGAGAGGGAATTGTACAAATCGAAGAGGAACATGCAGACACAGCTGTCATATTTGGCAGTAGTTTAGAGAAATTTATATGTCTCTGTATGTTTGTAAGATTTAAATCTTCTAAAACAAAGAATGTACTATAGAAATAAAGGGATATGATGCAAACAGACTATTAATACTAAGAGAAAAATAGCTAGAAATTAATCAAACACTTAATAGGATTTAACTTGCTAAAATTGTTTATTCCAAGAGGTAAACAAAATCTCAAAATGATGCAAACAAAGTCCATACAGAGAATAGAGAAACACACAAAAAAAGTAAACGATTCAGATAAGTGGTAGCTCCATAGTTAAAAACTGCTAAGAAAAAGGGGCCAATCAACCCAGACTGTATGCATCTATAAAAAAAGGACTAGGAAGACTGCAGTTTTGCGAGTACACAATAAGTGATGCGATAAATTACTGTAGCTATGCACACAGACATTTGCATGGAGTATAATTAATCAAGACAACACACACACACAATATATCTGCTTCAATGTAACTGGTAATAGAGATGCGCTACTGTTCAAAAGTCTGTGTCTGTAAGATTTTTTAAAAATGTTTTTGAAAGAACTCTCTAATGCTATATTATTGTGAAATATTAGTACAATTTAAATGAAGTGTTTTCTATTTTAATATATTCTAAAATGTCATTTAATTTATTCCCGTGACGGCAGAGCAGCCATTACTCCGGTCTTCAGAGTCACATGGTTCTTCAGAAATCATTCTAATATGCTGATTTGGTGCTAAAGTAACATTTTTATCAATGTCGTAAGCAGTTGTGCTGCTCAATACTTTTGTGCAAATCATGATCATTTTTTGTTCTTTGATGAATAGAAAGTTCAAAAGAACCCCATTTATTTGAAAGAGAAGTCTTTTGTAACATTGTAAATGTCTTTACTGTCACCTCTGATTAATTAAATTTGTCCTTTTTACCACACACTTTGTAGCTCGTGAAAATCAGCCTATGCATGATATACAGCATTATAGACACTATGAAAGCTATAGCGAAAGTAAACACAAACCTCTTGCAGTCACATAAGAAAAATAAAAAAAAATAAGGTGATAATTAATAATAGTGTGTATATTTATTAAATAAATTGTGGTTAAGTGTTGTATAGAAAATATTAAGAGCATTTAACTAATAAAACCAAGAGATATATTTTCCTCATTTTTTAAAGGAAACGTAAGCAATTTTGAGGCTTGAATTGAGGAATTCAAAAAAAAATTAAGGAAAGAAGACTACCTATTTATTTAAAGAGAATTAGCTCAATTATGCAGTTTTATTTTGGCGGTGATTGTTAGTTCCCAGCATGCTTTGCAAATGGCTGGATATGGAGAGTAAATATTGAAATTAAGTGCTATTTTATGTGTTTTTGAGTGAAGGGAAACATCTGTCAATGTTTAGTGTTCAGTTATGTTTGACATTTGAAAGAGTTTCTGTTATGTTGAAGTTTCTATTGTTACAGTACATTGTGCAGAAGCGTAGAGATGGTTAGGTTGTGGATAACTACATGTACTAACACTGAGAGGCATGATGTTTTGTTCAGTGAGCAGTAGCTTTGCTAACACTAGTGCCGTAACAAGTATTTTCCTACTTGAGATGTCTAGCTGTACACAGTCTTTTAGTTGTACAAAATAACTTAAAGTCAAATGCAAACAGCCCATATACTCGAAATCACAGACATTTGAGAATCAACTTAAAATAAATGAGCACATTTCACTAATATTATTAAATAATTTAGGAGATTTTACATGATTTATTCAGGTAGATTCCATTAAAGAAAACAATCCTTAAAAACTACTCAAAAATATTATGTGTAATATTGTTACCATAATTTTTTTAAGTAGATAGCACATAATATTTTTTACAGTGTAGCATGACCTTTTATATGGGCAGAAAAGTGAGAAAAAAACAAAAACAAGCTGTTGCATTAAACAAGAATTTGTTTAAAAAGCCTCCAACCATGACTGACAAAGTTGTGACCCGTGCTCAACAGTTCCCTCACAGAGCAGCCATTGATGTTAAGCACTGATTGGATGCTGCGAGGCAAAGAGTCAAGGGGTTATGTGCATTCTGGGAATTCAACGAGCCTGTGGCACTGGTAAGAGCAAACACAGGGGTTTGAAACAGGGCACCCTGCGGTCTTGCATTGATCTGTAAGAGCCTTATACCCTCAACCTTAGTGTAAAACTAAAAGCTGAAAACAACTCAAATTAATCAAAAATAGGAAAATAGGAAGTGTTTTTTTTTCCATAATAGTCTCACATAATGTAATAGGTTTCTGATTGAGGCATTGTACATTCAAATATTTCTGACTACTAAGCCATACAACTGTCCAAGGGAACTGATTTCTAATTTTTCTCACGTGACTCCATTGGCTCTTTATTCTCACATATTAAAATAATTTCTAAAAAATAAAAAAATAAAAAAAATAAATAATAAATAAATATTTAAAACAATAAAATATTCATTAAAATCTTTTTTGCAGTGCAGTTCTGATCACCCTTTAAAGTTTATTCTATAACAACTAGCTGACTTATCCTTAAATATATATTTTATTTTATTTTAGATTTATCTTTCTGACTCATAAGTTTGATATATGATAAAGTATATTATTCATATTCAAATTCGGTCCCACTTTATATTAAGTGGCCTTAACTACTATGTACTTGAATCAGAAAATAAGTACAATGTACTTATTGTGTTCATATTGCATTGCAAAACACTTTTGCTGCTATTGATTTGGGAAACGGGTAAGGTTAGAGACAGGGTTGGTGGTATGGGTAGGTTTAAGGGTGGGTTAAGGTGTAAGGGATGGGTCAACAGTGTAATTATAAATGTAATTACAAAAATTAATTACAGATGTAATTACATGCAGGTATTTTTAAAATATAAGTACAATGTAAAAACATGTATGTACACAATAAGTGCATTTTACCACATGAGTAATTTAAATGTAAGTACATAGTAGTTAAGGCCACTTAATATAAAGTGGGACCTCAAATTCAATTAGCTAATACCTATATAGTTTAAACTTTAAATATATTTACAGTGAAAAACACCAATATATTTTTATTGTTTTGCATGAATGTGACACAAGCTCTCCTGTTATATAATTTGTTGATTAAAGGTGCAGTAGGAGATCTTGGAAAATGCTAACTTTAGCCTGATAGCACTGAAAGCGAACGTCCCACCCTCCCTGCAATCACCGTCCAAAGCCACGCCCCCTGAACGCATATACGCCACAGACCAGAATACCAGACACAACATTACTACAATAGGCTACATCAGCGGTTCCCAATTCCAGTCCATGTTCCGAAGTGAAGTAAACTTCAACAGATTTCCCC